GTGAAAACCTAGCCAATCCTCCTAAAGTTACTTTGTAGTGAGTATTTAAGCAGTATGGTGAAGCTTTGAGAAGACGATGATGGCAAATAATTGTCGGACCTGATTATAATTAAGAACTACTCTTTTCACATCTTTTGTCGCTTGCCTAAACAGGTAGAAAGTGCGCTGGAATGATGCAAACATCCTCAACCGTTCCAGTAAACCCCTTAACAATTTTGCAAAACTCAAGCTTTTATCCCCTTCAATTTTATTTCTCCTAGTTTACCACTCTCAGCATAGGAGCTCCGTGAAGTTTACATCAACTGATTGTAGGGTGATTTCTGAAGCCATTAGTAATTTTTACGCATTCGCTGATAGTCTGCTGTCTTTTTTTGGACATGAGCACATTTGTAGAGTCATCCAACAAACGCTAACTAATAAGGGGATAAAAGGAACACAGTGACACCTGAATAACCTTTGAGAAAAAAAGCAAGAAAAAAGACATTTGTAGAACTCGTTAAAGGCAATATAGTCCCCTACATATTGTTGTCGTTGTTCAAAAACTGTTCTGTTTGGATTCTGGTATCCGGCTCTTTTGCATTCATTTAGATCTCCCCTAGACTTAGCAATGCGCGCCATCCTGACAAAGTACAACGCCTGGGTGAAGTACTATCAGGGTACACCTGCAAATCCGCAGGACTTGGCTCGCATTTGCTTCCGCAGTTCTCAAGGCGCATTAGTTCTTGCCATGCCAAACTCCAGCAGGAGTGTTGACGAAGATGGTGGCAACATCATGCAAGCAATCTCACTCAAGGCACATAGCGAGCGTATTCGAGTCCTCGTGCAACTACATCACTTCAAAAATAAGGTTAGTCAGTGCAGCCGTCATCGCAGTCTTAAATCCCACCCAAGACGTGGTTTCTTGTAGAGCTAGAGGTCATGCATGATTGTCCTTGGGTGGATAATTGGTGATGAAATTCGCAGTTTGGTAGTGTGACTGCCTTGGTTCATCGTCAGTTCTACCCACTTCCAAACGTTTAGCGTATCGGAATCGAGTTTATTTCCTGTTACAACAATAGGAGTTTTGATAGCTCAACTAGAAATATACTTT